GAAGCATCTATCCTGTTTCGCCTTCATGAGAAAAAGGATTCTCCCGCTGAGGGAAATCATCCGTCGATGAAAATAGCATCATCGAGAGCGCTTAGCTCGTGGAATTGCCGTTCTATGTCGGCGCCAAGATCGTGAAAATCCGGTATATCATCTTCTGCGGATGCACAGTATCCTGAAACAATACCAATAACAACTTTCTTTTTCTCTTTCTCTCTCTCTCTTTCTGACTGTCGCATTCGATCTTATACGCGCGTTTTTACGCACTCTTTACGAAATTACGCGAGGGTTCTTTTGGAAATAGCACGGGTGCGTGGCACGTGGCAACGCGTCATCTGTTTTGTCACGCGTATGCCCTTACTTGCTCATTCGCGCGTTCGTCATACGCGCGTACGCCGCGCGGCCCCCCCAAAAAAGTAAAGAATATTATTTTAAGACTCGGTATGGGGTAAAAGCATAAAAGCACGGCGAACCTCCTCTGAGATTAACTATAGACGACCGAGCGTGACACTGTCATCGGCGTCTCGTTGTAGTGCGCGAGCCACGACAGAAAAAGCCAATGCGCGCACGAGCGAGTCGCACGCATACACGATCTAATGGCTGATGACCCGCGCGGGTGTCTTTTTATACGCGGTCTAATCAAAATTACACGCAACTTAAAGATGTGAAAAGACAGGATCAATATAGACACGATAACATCTCATGCTAAATATGTTCGCGGAAAATGCCGCCGTATCTTTTCCGAGAGCGAGATGGAGTTTTGAAAAATAATTAGTCATATCTTCTCTCTCTCTTTCTCTCTTCCAAAGCATTATATAGAGAAGATTGAGAATAGCTAAATGGTCAAGATTTTTCTAAGTAAATTGACTCTTACTTGCTACAAAATTTAACTTGATTTAAATTTACAATAATTTCACATAATTGATCTACTTAACAAATAATATTTTCTCTAAGAGAAACTGTTGTAATAGAACTCGTTTCAATAACACGTTCTATGTTACTAATAAAAGTTAAAGGTCATGCTATCTTCTTCGATGCTTTTCGCTTAAAAATAGAAAACTATGTATAAGCAGTGAAACTAAATAGATGGAATATTTCTTATCGTATTTCGGCCAGATCTTTTATATCGAAGATACTGATTAAATATTGTCACATATAGGATAAGCCATGCTAAGCATTCAAAACATATAAAATCATCACGGCAATACACAATATCTTTGATTTTAATTTGGAAGGATACTCGTAACACTTGTTATTAATAATTGGATAGATTATTAATTCGCAGTACACAGGTAGCATGTGGAATCTAAAAGATGCCACAAAAACGTTACTGCAATTAATAATAGAAACTAGATCGTTTTATATATATAAAGTGACAGTATTGAAATCACTCCCTTTTAAATACTTTGTTGGACGAATGTTGTGAATCATATAGATCTTTCGCGTGGAAAAAATTTGATAGAATTTATAATTTCTACCAAAGATTTAATCGATTGAATACATATATACGTTACCTGTATTTTCGTTTTGCGCGTTGTTGATATCGTTCATAAGAAGATGACGAACCGATTCGATCGGCACGTACTCCTGCTGGTTGTTGTCAAAGTTTATGGAGATTCTATTCGGGTGACAAACATTATTTGCGTCTTCATCTTTAATATAGATTTTAGACAGCTTATACGACGGATGATTCGTTTCCACATCAAAGATACATGCGTTTTGGCGTTGTCGGCAAGGATTCGTCGAATTTAATGTATGTCCTGTTGTATTGGTTGTCGTTGATACTTTATCCGATAACAAACTGGACAATGTATTAGAATTCTCTGTATGATTCTTCAGGTGCTTCCTAAGGCTCGACGGATCCGTGTAACGCTTGCCGCAGCCGCTTACCTGGCAAGCATATGGTTTCTAGAAAAAAAATTGACATTATTAATTTTTTATGCATAAAATTGTGCTTTTGCTGAAAAAAAGATTGTCGAATCGATGATGATATAACATTCTAATATATTTCAAATAACAAGATATATATGCCATAATGGTCTAATTTATCAAATAAATCTAAAATTCTATTAAGCCATAATAAAATTAATTATAATATTAATGTGTAGTTAATAAAAATGTAAAACATATGTATTATGTTAAAAGCTGCTAGAAAAAAATGTTTGAGATAATCTTTAAATTATACACGTCACACTTATATACACAAGATAAATAAAAATGAAATCGTACTCTATCGTAATGTGTCCTCTGATGCTTAGCCCGGTCGCTGCTGTTGCTAAATGCCTTCGAACAGCCATTATGTTGGCATGCATAAGGCCTCTCGCCTGTATGCGATCTCTGATGAATTTTTAAGTTCTCCAGACGGCTGAAGGCCTTCTTACAACCGGCGAACTAAACCAAAAATTGACAGTTTAGAAAAATTGCCATTTCATTGGCAGATAATTCGTGCAAAACAAGAAACTTGATAATTTACATGGATCCTACATAAATCGATAGAGCGACCGATAAAATAATAATAATTTTTTTTCCGCGTACAGAAAGTTTTTACAGAAAATCCGCGTCAATATAAGAATCATGTTGAAATTTACGCGGACTTGAAGTCACTGAAGGAGCAAACAAGATGATGACGATGACACTGACCGGACATTTGTTCGGCTTCTCTTGCGTGTGTACCCGCATGTGAATGAGCAATTTGTATCTCGCGTTGAAGGGTCGCGCGCGCGGACACCCTTGCCACAGACAGGCGAATTCGTCCTCGCGACTCGTCGCGGCGCCGGGAAAACCTTCCCCTGCCTCTTTGCCTTCGCGCTCTTTATCTCGGTCAATTCGCTGCATCCGTCTGCCGTGACCGTGCGTGTTCGTCGAGGACGACTCCACGTGCCGCCTCTCGATGTGCCGGACCAGGCCTTCCTGCTCCGCGAACGCACAACCGCAGTCGATCCAGTGGCATTGGTAAGCCGACACGAGCAAGTTCTCTTCCACTGGTTTCGTACAATCTACAACATGAGATGTACGCGCAAATGTAAATACAACTGCATCTGACATTATACTCGTACGGAATGCCACTTGATATTGGAAATGTATGTGTTTGAGTTTATTGAGAAATATTTGAAGTATATTAGGTTATTATTTTGTAATCCTAAAAGTATTGAAAGTATAAGTAGGCGGATTTTATTTTAATACCAAAGATTTTTTTTATTCGATAAGACACCCGGGGAAATTCTCTGACGAATTAAATAGAAGAATAAATTCCTCTTTGGAATAAACGAAGAGACAGTATGCTGCGTACTTACCGTACGACTTATCACTCTTCTCGTTTCCCGCGACTTTTGACCCGGCGACCCGCTGATTGCCAAACAGCAGACCCTCGTTCCGCGGCAATATCACTTGATTGCCGAAACTGTCTGTTGCGCCGACGACATCGCCGGCAAAATTGATCGTCGACAGCGCGGACGGCTGTTGCTGCGAAGAAACGAGGTGCCCGACTGCGTAATACGGCGGGTCGAAGTTCTGGAATGATTCTTGATGATCGTCGCCCGTCAGACAGGTCGTTGACGACGCCGACGACGACGACGGCGAGTCCACGGCGTTCAACAAAGACGTCGGATCGCCTCTAATTAGACTCAGGTCAAACTCATCGCCAACGGAAGACATCTGCACGGAGGAAGAACAATAATTTTGAGCGGCGATATCGTTTTGCATGCTCATCAGCAACGACACCACGTCCTCCTGGCAATCCTCTTGATAATCCTGATGACCACTATGCGATTCCGTTCCGTATTCCGGATAAATCGCGTTGCAGAAGGTGCGCGAAAAAGAGAAGGCCGAGCCCATTGATGGTAACTTTTGACAGTCCGATTTATCCTCGCCATGACCCGTCGTCGTTAGTGCGCCGCTCCAAGTTGGCGTAGTTGCTTCGCTGCAGGTGCTTCCAGGTGATCCACCCGCGGTATTAGGATACTGAAAGACAATGGGCACCTGGTCCCAATCGAGATAGTCTTGCGGATCCAACGGGGAGAAAAGGGTACTGTTGTCCGCTTGCGAGGCCATCCAGCAATGTGATTGTGCGTCGTTAATTTCTATACCGGTCATGGACACTAAGGACGCCATATCGGGAAGCGAACTGTCGTCGATGAAGTCGTCCTGGTCCAGGCCGGATATGGGACGTCGCGCGTCGTCCTCCTCGCTCCTCTCGCCGTGATAATCTTCGAGGTGCATCTTCTCCTCCTCCTCCTCCTTCTTCTTTGTTGTCGTCGGTCCGGGCTCGACGCGGCCGGCAGCCTGCCGTCAATCATAGCAATACATATATTTAATTGCAGTAAACCGATTAAATTGCAAAACTATAGTGAGGATTTTGTAACGTAACACACGCACGACGGATTAGGAAAGCCAGTGCGAAGCGCGCTGTGCTCTTTGCTCTATCATATTGGGAGCTCTCGTTAGACGTGAGATAACGGAACCCAGCAAAGACATCGGCAGATAACGATAATGATGATACGAATGAGAGCTTGCGATGATTATGCAATTATGTATTTGTTAATGAGCATGAAGTCACGAGTGTCATTTCCTTATTATTTTTTTGGCACTCTCTTCTTATGGAAAATCTTTTTATACCTAATCAAAGGTTCATTTGCTACCGCGAAGCAGACGAACGTAAGTGATCACGTGACGGTTTCCACGCGCCACGACTTAAATTTTAACTTGATAACTAATCATGCGCGTGCATTGATATAATCTTTGATCAAAATATATGTAATTTAGAATTAAAAATGAGAAATAAATTGTAGCAAAAAAAATGCACGTTGATTAAACCAATAAGGTAATTTTTTTAATTGGGTGACGCAAATGATTAATCTATTGAATATATACAAGCACGGAGATATGGGGCTCAAAAAAATAAAATGAAAATCAATTCTGTATAAAAACAAGTAAAAGCTATTTTGGCTAGATCTACAGGCGAATTCTATAAAGATAAAACCGTGAGTACTTACGTACAATTTACTGTATATCAAATATTTATATAAAGAAAAGTCACTGCTATCATCAGATTAACGCCTATAATATTATTATAAAAACACTTCCGATCTTTAAGCAAAACCAAAAGGAGTGATTACTCAACTGCAATTGTTTTTTGGTCAATTGCACGAGTTAAAATAATATCTTTCCTGTCTTTCGAAATTGCAATTTTTATAAAGTTAACTTTTAGTAATCCTAATCCTAAATTCGATTTAATCACCAGGAGAAAATGAGGTGCAGACACAGAGCACAATACAAAATCTTTGGTTTTTCTTTCATCAGAAAACGTAAAATATAATCGTTCTAAAAACGCTAGACTTCTCTCATAAGTAGCGTTTTAATCCAATGTTCTGTTAAATTATTGTGACCACAAAGAAATCTCCAATTGTGTGATAGCCTCACTTTCTTCTAGGAATCGATGATAGTAAAATTGTAGAATATAACGTCAAAGAGAAGCAGCTTACTTTGATATCAACGTATCAACATGTACACGCCGATCACGGACACGCTTATCGCGTCGGTCTTTTCCGCTCCTTCTCTCTCGTGGTACGCATGCGACAAACAATTAATCGCGAAAAACAACGTAAACACCGAACGAATGAAAATAACACTACTCTTCCCGTAACTGATAAGGGGGTTCACGCTTTCACACTATTCGTTAACGCGTCTCGTCGAAGACTATCAGTCGCGCGACGACCGCTTTCTTCCGCCAAGGAGTCTCGAGCCGAGAGGACCAAGATTTTTCCCCTCCTCCGCAACGAAGCCCTTCGAAATTGCTCCTCTCCTTGGAAAGCGGACGGAGGGAATATTATAAAAAAACGCGCAAGGGTACATGAGAAGGCGCGAGAGGGAATATCGCGCCGCCCACTCGCGTGGCTGCATCGCGCCAAGTCGTCTCCCCCAAGTCCCCCCTGCTTGCCTACCGCGGCTGCACTTGTCGCTGCTGACACCGGGGGTCCTGCGGTCCCTTCGAGTCCCGGGGGTGGCGGGCGCAATTGAACATCTGTTGGCGCGCGTTCGATGCCCCGCGCGGGAGCATTTTTCCTTTGGAGCAATTTCCAAACCTCCTTCAAGTCAGAATCGTCACGTTGTACGAACCGGTCATTCATGATTTGGCCAATTATATTCAGTGATACCTACGCATGATTTCGCGGATAAAACGATATATCAACATAAAAACTGTATATTAATATAGAAAACAAAATAATAAAAAAAATCCAAAGAGAATCACGTTCCTTATAATTATGTTGATATTTAATTCGATTTTAGCCCGAGAAATATTATATTAAAAAATATTCAAAACTACTTGTAGTGTTATTTATTTAATAAAGTCAATACGCAGCGTAAACATTGTACAAATGAGAAAGACGAAAGATGCATGGGAAAGAGAAAGGATGAAAGAGAAAGAAGGAAAGAACTCAAGACGATCTTTCGTCGCTCAAACCCTAAGAATCGGGTACAGGGCAAAAAAATGTAAAACCAGCTGCCACACACGCGTCACTTATTAACAACAGCTTCTATGCGCGCACCACATGAGGACACAAGTCATTCACTCCTTGTTCTCCTATTACAAGCTACCGTTATTGCACGGATCTTCTCACCTCGTTTCGTCATAATACTCCCAAAAGCGCATTATTTTCACGAAAAGAAAAATGTATCCACTGGATATCTTTAAAATTATATTGCTGCTGCGTGGAACAAGATACCTTTCCATATTACAATTCGATTTCTTACCTATCAATCCTCTCCACTGGATATTATAGCACAATCTTTTTTCATTTTAGTTACTTTAAAAATTGTCAGGAGTCATATTCACCATTTTAATGATATGCAGGACGATAACCTTTCAACATAATTATGATCAGTATCTCTCTCTCTCTCTCTCTCTAGGGTTACCTATAAATATATATATATATACATATATACTCCAAATTAAATAATCTTGAAACGACAAAGATGCAGATTTTTATATAACCGGATATAAAATGTTTTTAAGTAAATCACGCTGACGTGCTGATATGTTAGATTATTTCGTATTTTTCCATTTTCTCCATGTGTAAAATAATACACATAAAATGTAGTTGTATACATAATAGTGTACAATAATATACAATATGTGTACACGACTCGCTCTCGCTCGCGCTTCCCTTACGCGGAAAATTACGCGCGCGCACATACACGAGTATGCATACGCCTTGGTGCATCTTGCATGAGCGAGCTGTACGTCATATTACGGGTAGATAAGTGATAGAGTGGCACATGTGGTCTGCCAGCCCTCTATGCTTACATTATATACATACTATGCCCGCTCACGATCCTGCTTTTTTACCCAGGCACCTGTCAACTTCGCTCGTACCATAGTCGCCGCATGTGTGTACGCGCGGCCCGACCGCCCTTAAAATAAATATACTGTAAAAAGGACACCGATCATATTCTCTCTCCATACGGATGCAATAACAGCAAAACGTATAAAAAACCATTTCGAACGCGTTTAATCGCGTCTCGCACAAAAAACGATTAACCGCCCCTCCCACATACATATGATCTTTTTCGTAAAGCGATTATATCCCAATAATTATCCCAACAAATTAATAATTTTATACGAATACTCATGTATATAATTTTAAAATCTTCTTATTGTTTTGATCTTTGATACTAATATAATGTACTATGACATTATTCCTATATTTGTACTTGTAAAACGGAAGAAAATCAAATAAATAAAAAAATCTTAAAGTTGTTAGATATCTGTAGAGATCAAAATAATATTCTAATCTCGGGAAAGCATATTGTGTATGTTATAAAGTTTTAATTAAAACATATGTGTCTGAAGAAAAAAAACGAGAAAAGAGAAAATGAAAATGCCCGATTATCTATAGTCATATTTGTAGACTGTTCAACAAACGTTAACTTTTAAGTATTCGCGTGATAGAGAGTTATACAGATATATGTTAATAGCAATTATCTATCACAGATTTTTAAAGTTTAAATTTTAACAAATGTGAAAGTATCATTTCCCATTTTCCTTTCTAGAAAAAGAAAGTATTTACAAACGATAAATTGCTTAGATCAAATTGATCTGACAAGAGTACTAAAAACTTAAATGTTCACATCCACATGTACAGAACTGTGATATCGTAAAACGGGTGATACATAGAGCATTGAAAATAGCATAGACCGCAACACGTACATACATACGTGTCGGCAAACGTTTAGCGTTCGGTCAAGCGATGTAAAAATAGAAAGACGCACGCTCTGCATGTGACTTCTTATAATTAGGTACCAAACCGAGAGGATACGTTGTGTTTTTTATGTTTCATACGTTACAAACATAGTCCATTAGAGAGAATCCAATGGCGGACCACCCATTCGTTTTTTTGTCTACAGTAACGGGTATAAACTACTTCGAAACGAGAATTACATAAGCTTTGTCCATATATATGTGTATATATATATGTATATATATATGTATGTATATATATATGTATATATATATGTATATATGTATATGTGTGTGTGTGTGTGTGTGTGTGTGTATTCGTCGCGTCTGTGTGGTTCTCTCTCCGGCCGACTGTGGTGAATTTTTGTACCGCCGCCGCTCTCTCGGCGAATATTTAATCGCTCTGTCTTATTCATTTTTAGTGCGTCGTACACGGGCATATATGTATATATATATGTACATATAGGCACGTACACGCACGCACACACATATGTAAAAAAAAGTTTACAATAATATGATTATTTGGCACGGTTAATTATTGAAAATGTTCTTCTTTTTACATTTATCAAAAAAAAATTTTTTTTTTTTATTATACATTATTATTTACGATTATTTACGAACTTGAAAAATCGAAAAATCTTAAAAAGTTTATTATTATCATCTCATCCATATTATAGAAATAACAATTTAATATTGTCTGTAACCACAAACTTTATACGATTCATTTGTTATTTCAGATTGAGACAATAGCGTAAAATGTGTGGTAACATCAACTTTAGATTCATTTTCGACAATCGGAAAATGTTGCACGCGTCCACTACTCCAAGCTATTGTTAAACAAAGCCATGATGAATGTTTTTGATAAAAGTTAATACAGTTTGGTACTTCACCGGGAAATCCTTTGATGAGACAGCTGGGCTGCACTTCCACTATTCGTGATAAATTACTTAGGCTCGTTTTAACTAGAGCAATAACTGGACTATCCTATTTTCCAGAGAAAAAAAACAAATGGTAACAAGAAAACAATTAGCACCAAGCATTTCATCATTTAACTTTCATAACATCACATCTGTTCGTTTTAGTTGCACTTCTTGTGTTCTATTTATTTATTTTATTTTTTTTATTTATTTTGTCTTATCTGTTTTATCTTTTTCTTTTTAAAACCTACATGTACATTTATTTTATACACAAAAAATGCAAGTAAACCAAACAGATCTATTTAATCATATTGTTACAGACCTGGAAAAGAATAGCGAGATATTTTCCTGTTGAATCCCATTCCATAGAAACTATTCTGCCTCCCACTGTGATATAATCATCATCATCCCATGAAAAATTTACTTTCGTTAAATCGATTAGACGCATAGCTATCTTTACATCATTATTAGTTGCTTTCTTAACATCAAATATATTATCTTGCAATGGCAATGAGAATATCGTAGCAGGATCTTCAGTAGTAGCAAATAGTAATGTTAAATTGGGACCAAAGCATGCAGTTGCTACACGACCATGAGGAACTGTCCACCTTTCTGCATGCCATGGCGTTGGAACGCCAGTATTCCAAACTCTAAAATTAAATATCAATTTTTTTAATCACATACATAATTATTTGAATATTGAGCAACTCATTATATATATATAGAAAGAAAATAAATATAAATAAAAAAAGACCCATTACCTAAAAACATTTCTACATGAAGCAGACAATAAACGTGAGCCACAAGATGACCAGTGTATAAAGCATATGCCACCTCCACCAACACGTTTCAAAGGAACTCCATCTTCCTTCGAAACATCCCAAATTATTATGTTTAAATCTGTTGGTGAGCAAGATGCCAATAAGCCACCCTAGAAAAAGAAATTTTATATTATTATCAAATTATAATTCTTACAATATTGCTATATAAATATCAACAAAAATAAAATGAATAAAGTTTACTTGTGAATGCCATATAACACTTGTAACAGGTACATGATTTCTTTGCTTTAAAAGTATCGCATGACTAAGTAAATTACTGGCTGCTCCCAGCTCTATCGTCCAAATTAATACTCCAGAATAACATGCAGCTGCTAATTCACGACTGGCGTATGGTCTCCAACTTAAGCAGCAAACTGACTTTTGTGCACTATGTCTCAATACTGGCACACCTGGTATGCCTTGTGAATAAATACGAATTCGGTTGTCCCTTGTAGCCACAGCTAAACGAGCACAATGCGGATGCCAAGACAGACACCTAATCTATCATAAACATTGCACAAATATTTTAATACTCAAATTTATCTATATATTTCTAATCAATTCCTAATTGATTCATCTTACTAGTGATGTATTCCAATCCCGTGTAGCAACAATATCGGCAACAGACCCAGTTCCTGATGTTGGTAACACATCTCTCTGATATATTCCTCTTTCCATCAAATCCAACATCCAATTCAGTCTGGAATTGTTATATATTTTTCACATCAAAATGAAGATATGAAATCTTCCAAGAAGGCAAGCAATATATAACAAAATATTATACCCATACCTTGTTGCCATCCAATGCACAAAATTTGTAATCTGCTCCGGATTTGCAGCTGCAGCGAAACGAATGGCTTCGGACAATCCTTTCTCTCTCCATACATTGGCAAGTTTTTTGAAGACGCTATCGTGAATGGGCAGAAATAATTCTCCAGCGCTAACCGCGCGCGCAGAGTCGCGGGTGGCCAGAATCTCCTGCGTGATGGAAACCTCAGGATACCCACGCAAGTACTTTGAGAAAGGTTGCATCTCATCATGCATCTTGTCGTAGGTGCAATAATGCACGGTGTCGTCAATTAAACCGACGGCTGCCGTATTGTCCAAAACAGGACACTCGAAATCGTGAAGTGACAATATTTTTAGCATTTTTGCTTCTCTTTTTATCAGGCGTTGCAACGACTTAACCTGTACATTTAACCCATACACGTCGTGTCACTCACAATATCCCGTCCTGAATAAATAAAAAACGTGTTTTTCAACAAACTACAAAAACAATTAAGGCAGTTTATCTTTGCATATTCCTAAATAAAGCTAGTTTTCCAACTTATTTAATTTTTGCATATATATGTACAGTATAATACAAATAACATCAATAGAAGTTCAACTGATACAAAAACACATGCATACGATACGATGACACTCACTCTCTCTCTCTCTCTTTCTCTCTCTCGCTTTTTTTTAAATCTAATATATTCTATTGTTAATATTTTATTGTTATATACAATTTATTGTAATATACATTTATTGTAATATACATTTTATCATTAATGTAATAAAAACATTTACATTGTAGCGTAACAAAAAAAAAAAAAAAATTAATTTTTATTATACTAAAATCAATTTCGTCTATTATTTTATTCATTTTTATAATCTATCTCTAATTGACAAAATAAATCCTACATTACACATTTATACAATACTAAAGGTAAGAAGCGGAAAATAAACATAAAATTATCATATATTATAAAAAGACGTTATATAAAACTATAAATACAAATTTATCATCTTTCGTAATGTACGAATTTAAATTGCGTAATGCAAAACTTGAAATCTGAATTAGATAAACTTGCATCTTATATACATACGCGCGTAACATTATAATTTTATCAATGATTTCAAAATACGCGATAAATACTTTGTCACGTACGTGCAAATACCTTTTATCAGCTACCGAGGAAAATGGCGCGAAACTTGTTGTACTCGGTTGCTCATGGCAACCGGTTGCTAGGCAACGATCTATAACACGGTGACGTATGTGCGCGTGCGCGCGGCGTTTCGGGAAACCATTCGAATTGCTCTGCCGTGCGAAGTCGCGTCGCGTGGGTCGTTGGTCGCCGCGATTCGCATGACATTTCGTACGAATTCGTTCGCGAAATAATACGGCGCGACTACAATCCGAACGACAATTCACGCTCGTACGAAAATCCTTCGATAAATCGCGAATCGGAACAGCCGGGTAGTGCGACGGCGCCCGCGCGTAGAGACACGCTTCATCTACACTTGCTACACTTATTTACCCTCATCTCTCTCTTTCCCGCGTCACGAACGTACGCTTGTTTCACTCCGATTGCGGAAGATGTAAGAAATACAGACGAAAAGTGCAATTCATCAGCGTAGCGACGACAGCGAGAAGAAGGGGACGTGATAAAAAGGAAAGAGCGAGAGAGAGAGAGAGAGAGTATGTATGTGTGTGTGTGTTCGTACGAGAGACGAGTGCGCGGAACGAGATGGGTGGTGGGTGGTGGACATGGATATCGTTGGGAGGGGCGAGGTGGGGTCCGCAGTGTGCGGTCGTCGTTCGAGCAGGGTGGATTACGTATCAGAGTCCGTTCGTCGCGTTCGCGAATCGAGGGCTTGTGCCTTTTCACGAGAGGAGCTTACCGTGTCACTTATATACGCGCGAACGAACGAGCGTGAAATCGCGAGAAAATCGTGAGAGCCTTATTCCGATCGAGACGATCGACGACGACGACGACGACGATTATTCCGGCGTGGAATCGCACGGCTGTTGCGATGCTACCGTGGGACGAACGATCGACGACGACGACGACGACGACGACGATTATTCCGGCGTGGAATCGCACGGCTGTTGCGATGCTACCGCCGAGGTAGTCCGCGAATCGAGGAGGATCCACCGCACGCGATGACGATCTCGGTCCGTCGCGCGTTCCCGTTCCCGTCTTAGAAGAGGAACGAGGCGGGATCGACAGAGAGCTTTCGAAAGACTGATCTCTCATTGCGGGTGCAGGACGAGGGCGCAGAGGCGGAAGAGAGACGATAGTGGCGCGGGCGACTGCGAGAAATGGGCAAGAAGGGTTCCAAGCGGAAGACCCGATGGAGAACTCTGAGCATCGGTGGTGAGTATTTCTCTGTCTCTATCTCTTTTCCCCCGTCTATCTATCTATCCCTATTGTCTCGCGTAATATTTCCTCGCGAGCGGACAATTTCGTGAGAGACATGAAGTGTGGCCGGTCATCGATCAACGAGTGCGCGAGAGAGATGTCGAAGCGAAGGAGAGGGAGAGAGAGAGAAAGAGGACGTACATTTCGCGTTATCGCGAGGTGCTGGCCTCCTCCTTCTCTCTTCGACCTTCGCGGCATTAAATCTGTCCCTTTTGGCTGTATAGTCGTACGTTTCCTCTACTGAAGATAAAACGAGTCTTCGTATGCCGAGCCTTCGAAGAGAGGAAAGGTAGAGAGATGGCTGAGCGGGGAAATTTTTCCACGATCGTATTACGGTAGTACATGGTTCGTAATGAAAAGATTTACGCGATCGATCGCAGATCAATTTTCACAAAAGGTGCAGTTGAAAGAAACGGAAAATTCCCTGTTTTTCCAACGTATTTCGATTTTCGCGGAACGTCCGAGAGATCTCTTCCTAGGCTGGACGTTCTTGCGAGTCACGACTTTTATCCGCTACTGTAAAAAAAAAAGAATGACGCGGCTCTAGCATAACAAACAAGGACGCGAGAGCGCTGTTTCTAGGACGAAGAACGAGGATTCTATACTACACACAATTCCCGTATGTTCTTTAATCGTAATAATAAGAGTCTGCCCTATTAATCTTTCGCGAATGATATAAGCTTCTTTCGAAAAGCTCGATACGGGACAGAGTTATTTAACGCCATTGAAAACCAAATGTCTATATTTCTAGATAGACAAGGAAGCTTTTATATCTTTTAATCTCTCGCAAAAAGAAACAAAGCTTCTTAAAAATCTAACACGAATTATTCCCATTTATTCTCATTTATTCTTATCGAAGAAGCTGAACTTTTGATTTGCGAGGGCGCTGTTTTTTAGAACGATGAACGAAAACTATATACGTTCCACGTACGTTCCCAAACATAAAAGTAAAGATTTATCTTTCGACCTTTCTTACATAAAAAAGAAAACATTAAATTTTTGCGTTTTATTTACATACATTTATAAGGCTCGATTCTATCAACATCAACTGGCATTAATACGTCAACTATATTATCTATTATTATCCATCTAACTAAAAATAGAAAATTAGTTGAACTATATCGAAAGATAAGAATCAACATGACTGTTCCAATAGAGAGATGTTTTTATCTTCCGAT